TACTCACAGCCCTGCTCCTGCCACAGGCCCCTTTGCCTTGGTTGTTCCCACTGGCCAAAACTCTCTTCCTTCTAATATCTCTCAAGCTAGACTTATCATCTCCTTTTAACTTGCCCAAAGTCACCTTCTCATGGCATTAACTTATTACTTTCTCTACCATCCAGGATGGTGCTCCTAACCCCTTTCCCCAAATACCACAAGAGCATGAGCTGCACGTGCCATGTTTCCTGATGTATCCCTACAATCTTGAATAGTACCTCCCACATAGGAAGTGCCCAGTGAACATCTCAATGAATGATGGATGAGTGAACTCTCTCTGCATCACCCCATACACTTCTGTAGCTTTTATGATGAGCACAAATCCAGGTCTCCAGGCCTCACAAACAAGCCTGAGATCTGGACATAGACACCTTGCCCCTGAGCATCATTGCTTCAATAGCTCTGTGTGTCTCAAACTCAAGAGTTGTTTTCTTCTGCCTCCCTTGGCAAACCTTCTCCTCCGTCTATGTTCACTATCTTAGTAAGTGCTATTGCCCATGCAGAGCTGTAAGTCAAAAATCTTAGGGTTACCATAGACTCCTCTCAATCACCCACCTACTTGCACTCACCCAATCCTTCACCCACTTCCAGTAAACTTTTCTGGACTGATCGCATGGCATGTGCTCTGCTGTCCATTAGTCCAGCTACCACCAAATGCAATGCTTATACATATGCTTCTCCTTCTGTCACTGTCCCATCTCCCCAACCTTTGACACAACTCTCGGTCCAATGTTTGTTCCAAGCATCATTGTCTTCCCACGGTTCCTCCCCTATTGCCTAAACCTTTATCTCAATAATTAGTTTACTTCTCCATTGCCAACACCAGGTCCTTAGGTTAAGGATGAAACCTAGGGTTGATTGCCTTCTGGTGTCTAACAGAAACACGCACAGATTTCCAAAAATCTTTTGTACCAAAATAAACTTATCCTTTAATTCTACTTCCTGCAAACTTTTGGAAGTATCCTTTTACAGACTCTACCACACAGTAGATGTTTACACATATATGATAAACAAATGAATCCTAATAACCCAAATAAAATGTCTGTCTTAAGTATATTATTTTAATCTATGATGTACAAGTATGGAAATTGCCATTACAAAAATGACGCTATTCTTCACAGCACTGTCCCATAGTGAGTATTCAATATATGGACAGTGCTTGACTGATGATGATTCAACATAATTTTTTGATTTTACAATGGTGTAAAGGTGATATTCACTCAGGAGAAATCATACTTCAAAGTTTGAATTTTGATCATTTCCTGGGCCTGCCGTACACTGTACACTTCTTGTGAGGGTGGGCAGTGGCAGCAAATGCAGCTGCTAGTCAGCCTCACAAACACAAGAGGAAACAACCTATACTCCACAGTGCGCTGGGTTGTCGGCATGTATTGGGTACAGATATTTAAAAATTATACAAGATATTTAACACTTTATTACAAAACAGGCTTCATGTTAGATTATTCTGTCCAGCTGTAGGGTTAATGTATGTATTATGAGCATGTTTAAGGTGGGATACACTAGTCTGTGGTGTTCAGTGGGCTATAATATTTTTAATTTATACTAGATTTATCAGGATGCAACACCACTGTAAGTCAAGAACATCTCTTTTTTATTTAAGGAAGGAAGAAGCAGCCCTAACAATGACAAGAAGATATTAAAGCAGCATGAGCTCAAGAACGTGGGGCATTGGAACTTGCGGTTAATGGTGCGAGTGTGGCAGGATGGCAGGAAATTCAAGCAAGAAGGAAGAATGAGGAGAGAGAAGGGGCCTTGAGTTTGCTGTCTAGGCATCTGGGAGCCCTTTATAGCACTAGACAGCAGAGTGATTAATCAGAAGTGTGGTTTGGAACAATCCCTCTGTCAGAAGAATGGAGGATGGACTTTCAGGAGTTGGGTGGGCTTGGATGAGTGAAGGAGAAGACTGGACTTTGGAAGACCAAATAGAATGCAACTTCCATAGCTAGAAGGTCTAACATGTGAAGATCTAGCTGAGTTGAGTCCTGGAGACCTTTTGACCACCAAATGTATCTTCCCATGCCAGTGGAACCCAACTTTCTTTTTTTTTTAATAGAAAGCTTTTACTTAATAAATAAAAATTTCATAGGTACAAGTTCCAGATTATAGTGGTTCTTCCCCCCATTCCTGCCCTTCCACCCCTGCTCCCATCTCACCTCCTACTCCCTCTCCCATCCCATCCTTCATTAAGGTTCATTTTTAGTTAACTTTATATACAGAAGACCAACTCTATACTAAGTAAAGATTTCCACAGTTTGCACCCACACAGACACACAAAGTAGAAAGTACTGTTCGAAAACAAGTTTTACAGTTAATTCGCATAGTCCACCTCATTAAGGACAGAGGTCCTACAAGGGGAGCAAGTGCACAGTGACTCCTGTTGTTGATTTAACAATTGACGCTCTTATTTATGAGGGACCCAACTTTCTACATAAGATTTGAACCATGAGTAGACAAGTCCTCCAGAACCCACACTGGCAGGCTAGACCAGCTCATGGATGGCTTGGGCTACATACAGCTGCCTTTGTCTGCTGGAAAAATTAGTGAGCACTTTGACGAGGTTGTCAGGAGCTTCCAACCCCATCTAAACACCATTTGGCATCCACATTTCAGATGTTCCTGGAAAAGCTCTTGAAATGCAGGAAAGAACACTGGATGTTTGCCCATCATTTGTTTGGTCTCTAAACCAAGGGTTGCACGATGAGAACTCAGGTTCACTTTAAGCAAATATCTGTATTCACAACACCCCGTCTTTTTGCTACAGGCTGGATGAAAGGAAGCCCAATTCTTTGGATGCTGGGTCCAAGTTTGAGCCAACTGTGAAATCAGTTCAGGCATCAGATGGTGCAGGGCATTAGACAGAGTATTTTTGAGATGTCTCAAAACAATACGTCAAAGACAGCCAGTTATTAATGCAGGGCTGCAAAGCATTGCCGTTGGACTGACATGATCACAGGCTCCTGACTCAGGGAAGTCTGTCAGACTGGAACTCCTGTGGAGCTATGATGGAATGAGTTTTGTTCACGTGTGTAGTAGACACGTAAAAGTAGCTTTGGGTGGACTGGCAATCAGCTAGGAACCATGCCTCCCAGGAAGTACATCTGCCTCCTTCAATAACTGCCTCATATCATGAAGTGTATTTTTTAAAACAGTATTATATGAAAACTCACATTGCTTAATTTTTCACCATTTTAGGTAAAAACAATAATAATTAAAGACTGTCAGATGTTTGCTCTTTACATTGTTGCCATTATTCCAACAGTCTTCCAGCCTCCCAAGGGGTCTAGAGGGGAATCACCATCTTCCAGCCACCCATTGTGGTGCTGCTCTGCCCATCTGGGAGCCAGAACATAAAGCCTCACGGTCCAGGGCACTCAGGGAGGAACATCAGAAGCATCTATTTACATTTTACTATTTATGCTACTGTGAGAAAGAAAGTGAGAAGAGTCCGGGCAAAGCTGCAGTTGGTGATGGTGTGGCTGAGACTCGAGGCACTGCCCTAGATGCCACAGCAACCTCCAATTCATGGTGGACAGCTCAGTATCACATTTGTGTTTGTCAGGAGGAAATGCCACAGAATATGCTACAGAATAGCAGGTGAGCATGCACTTTAAAGCTAGACTGACCAATGTCATTCCAGTTCTACAATGGACCAATTTATCTCTCTTTGTCTTTTTCTTCATTATGCATGACAATGAATAGCAAATCTAACATGACAATAAGTAGCAAATCTAAATCTAATAATAGCAAACCAATAAATAGCCAAACATCTGAAGAAGGATAGCTCTCTTTCCTTCTGCTGTTCCATTTGCCTGGGACCCTTTCCTCCTGCTTTTACACCCAGCTCAGTCTTTTTTTTTCTTTTTGAAAAGTGGAGTTGCAGAGAGGCAGAGGCAGAGAGAAAGAGCATGCATTTTCCATCCGCTGTTTCTCTACCCAAATGGCCACAACTGACCAGAGCTGAGCCTTGAGCCATCTTCTGCTGCTTTCCCCAGGCACATTAGCAGGGAGTTGGACAGGAAGTGGAGCAGCCAGGAGGCGAACCTGTGTCTATATAGGATGCCAGCGCCACAAGCCAGGGCTTTTTAACCTGCTGCGCCACTGCACCAACCCCACAGGTTTGTCATTAGATCTGAATTTGGACTTAATATCCTCAGGAAGCTTCTTTTGGCTTTCCAAAGCCCCTTTTGCTGTGTTCCTGGGGCTCACTTGTCCCATGCAGCAGTGTCTGCCGTCTGTCTCCTCATCTGAAATCCCAACCTAGTTGCTGTGGGGAGCAACTCGGACTAGACTGAGTTACTGGAATTAAGACTTATTCTATGCATCTGCTCTCCCACAATATGGCGCTGGGAGAGAAGAAAACAGCTTCTACGCAGCTGCCTCTTGCCAACTTGAGTGATGACCTCCAGGAGCTGATCCTGCTCCTGATTGGAGGAGAGCAGCGTACTCGGCGTGTGGGCAGCCAAGTTGGGATTGGCGGAAGAGGACTATAAAGGAGGAGAGAGACAACATGCACCAGGAACATCTAAGGGGAACATCTATCTGAAGGAACACCTGTGCAGCCCCCGAGAGAGCCGGCCGGCGGTGTGCCGCTCCCCTGCGGAAGTGGGGAATGTGGCAGGGGGAACCGCCCTTCCACGGAGGTGGAAGGGACGGCAGCCAACCCGGGAAGAACCAGCAGCAAACCCGGGGAGGGCCGAGCAGACAAAAGAACAGCGCAGGGTCCTGTGTCGTTCCTCCATGAAGAGGGGGAGCGACAAGTTGCTTTTCTATCTCAAGCACCTAGGCGTAGTGTGTAGCAAGCAGGTGCTCAAATCTTTGTGAGCAAATAAACGGGATGATGAATGAATACACATCTAGCCAGAAGAGGAAAAGGTTGGTAAATAAGAGTCCAAAGGGATTCCCCTGGGAACCCACGAATTCTCAACAGGGGCCCCTTGGGGCTCTTGGTCACCATCATGGGGGTCTGTATCCAAGCGAAAGGGAGAAATTTCCAGCATCAGAGACTCGCAGGCTTCCTTGCTAAACCCTGCCTTCTGCAAAAGGATCCAACCCTAGAGCAAAGTCCCCAGGCGACCACAACCCCAAAGGCAGGAGCCCAGCTGCTTCGTGCTCCTGTCTCTGCGCACCTTGCCTGTCCGCGGGGTGCCAGAAGGCGCGCACCAGAAACGTCCCACTTCTCTCGCCCTCAACTTCCTCTGATGGGCGCTGAGGGTGGGCATTTTATGCAGGGGAGAAGCCGCCAGGAGAGACACAGCCCCCCGAGAACCCCCCACTCCCGCTCCGTCACCTCCCGGGAGACGCGTGCTGGGCGCGGGCCGCCGGGGCGGGGAAGGGTCGGGCCGGGGCGGGGAGAGGTCTTTAAATACCGCGAGGAGCGGCGGGGAGTTGCGCTCGCTAGCCCGCGGGACCCCGGGAGGCCAGAGCCGCCCGCGCCGCCACGCGTCCCGTCGGTGGTCCCCGAGGTCTGGCGCTGCGCTCCCAGCGGTGCGTTGCGCTCTGCCCCCGCGGTGCGTCCGGAGGACCCCAGCTCGGCGCGCAGGCGGCGCGGGGCTGGAGGCGGCGTGGACGTTTCCCCGAGGTAAGTTCACCCACGTCCGCTGGGTGACAAGAGGTCAGTGGTTTTGGATGGCGGGCACCGGACAGAATGGAGGCGCCGCGCGAGGTGCAAGATAGAAAAACGCGTTTCAGAAGCTCAGAGCTAGTTCCTTTGGTTGCTCTCCTCCTCCAGGCAGCCGGCCTTTCTCACCCCCCGCCCCACTTCAGTTTTCCGCGTCCTGCTGGAGAATCTCTGCGCACTCCGTGGTCACTCTCCTCCGGGCTGCGGGTCCTGGTCGCACATCCGGGCGCGGGACGCTGCCGGGGGCTTCCCCAAGCACTGGCTTCACGTCCAGCGGCCCGCGGGGGCCACTCCGAAACGAATGAATGGGGTTAGCCAGTGCGCGTCGGGGAAAGTCATTCCCGAGCCCTGCGTACCTCTCCCTGTACTTTGCCTCCTGCTCCTCACACACATTTATTAAAGGTGGTTGGGGGTGTACTGCCCCCTATGCTCACTGCCCAGTAGCATTTACTCTGCCAGGAGGAAACCCTTAGCTACGGACCCACCTGTAGGTGATCTTGCTGCAGGGAGGAGGCCGGCTGGAAGAGGGAGAGACGCCAGGGCTAGGAAGTGGTTGTCTTCTGTGTCCTTTTGTGATGGAACTTTCTCATTCCTCGGTTTGGTAGTGCACTCTGGAGATGCTGGTATAGGACCTTTGCCTGTGTGTGGTGGGGAAGGGGACGGATATCTATCAGGAGTATCTGGGAAGGCGAAAATCACAAGGCTTGAGTTAGGCAGGATATTAGAAGTCTTTTAAAATTCCCTGCAGTTACAGGATTCAACAGCCACATTGCCATTTCTTCTAAGATATCTATTTGGTGTGTAGTATGTGTAACGTAAACTTTTCAGGTGCGTCATTTTGATGTTACGTTATCTAACGGCTCTATACACTGGTCTGCATACATAAAAACCTTTAAACTTCTAAGCAAAGTGCTTGCAAATACCCAACCCTAAGGTTTCATCCTCGTAAAAGATGGCAGTTCCCTCCCACTTTCTTCATTGTATCCCTGAACACTGGAGCTGCAGAGGAGAAGGGGTTGAGGATGGGAGCAGAAAATTCCCGTCCGCTGGAAAACACAGGTGCACTGGGATTTGTGCTGTGTGAACTTAAATGTTAGGATGCCCACAAAAAAGTTTGTGTTAAGCTTTCGTTTGAAAATGATCTCCCACTGCTTTAGTAATAAAGATCTCTTAAGGTTGCTGAATCTTCTCGTGAAACAATTCCCGAAAAATGTGTTGATAATTATCCAATGCCTGCCTTGGTGTCAAGTTTTCCTATTCCCTTCAAATAGCTTGAGTTTGAGAAAGTTTGAATATTTTCAACATTAATACAGAAAAGATTTCTGTATTTATTTTCACAGACAGTACCAAGACCAGCTAATGAAGTCATCGAATGAAGGTCAGGTTACAAGAATTATAACCTCATCTCTGTGCTGCAACAGGAGTCTGCAGAACTCCATGCAAAATGTGTGTTAGGAAGAGACTAGGCATGGGTTTTCATTTCTTTTTGCACCCCCAAACACCCCTTATGTTTTAATCCATTTTTCCACCAACTTTGTACCCTGGTATAGTTCCACTAACATAACAATCTTAAAACTGACAGAAGAGAACTGTTCTCTCCGTAAATAGCCCTTGCCCCGGGAATGTCTCAAAAATGTGGGTTTATTAGCTCCATGTCTTGCAAATAAGTAAAAATAGTACAGACTAGTGGATACTTAGGGACTTCAAAAAGTGCGTGGGAAGTGGAGTTAAAAGATAAGCTTATTTTGGTGCAAAAATGTTTTGAAATTCATACATGTTTTTTTCATAATATGCATTTTCTATAAACTTTTTAAAAACTCCTTTCACACATGGATCTCAACGGTTTTGCAGCAAAATTATTTTTAAATTCCATTTCCCGTGAAATTTTTAGAAGTTCACTTGTGTATTTGCAATCAAAGAACCTATATCACTACTGTCCTAAGAACTATGAAGTTTCGATTTTCTGTGCTTCTATTTCTACTTCTGTAAGTATCTTGAATATAAAACTTTTCCAGGATGAACAAATGTTGGCTGAAACACTGTTTCTCCCTTCTTGTTATTTTAAAATTTTGGATTAATGTGTAATATTTGCACATTTTTATGGGGTACAATGCAACTTTTTTCAGCACAGCCTACCAGCTCTTTTCCAGTTCTTTTTAAAAAGAGTATGGCAATGATCCTGTGCCAGAGTCTTCCCACTGTTCTGCAAAAGATGGAAACCGTGGCATTCACCCTGTGTGCCTCAGCACTCATGACCCATCCTCCCCCACCACCTCCCAAGCCCTCCAGCTTCCAGTAATCACTATTTTAAACTTGGATATAATATATATTATTTTTAACTTCCACATATGACAGAGAACATGTGGTATTTGTCTTTCTGTGTCTGGCTTCTTTCACTTAACATAATGATCTCCAGATCCATCCATTTTGCTGAAAGTGTCAGGAGTTCATTCTTTTTTATGGCTGTATAACATGCCATAATGGATATATATACCACATTTTAAAAATTTATATGTTTGGGCTGTGTTGAGGTATAGCAGGTAAAATTTACATGTTCTTTTTAAATTTCTTTTTCTTTTAACTTTAATTAATTTCAAACAGATCAACGTGGTTTGTAGATATAATTCTAAAAACATATGATATTTCCCTTCCCCTCCCTTTCCTTCTCCCTTTTTAAAATTTTTTGAGATAACATATTTTAAATTTTCATTACAATAGGCCGACACCCCAGGTTCTAGTCCCGGTCGGGGCGCCAGATTCTGTCCCGGTTGCTCCTCTTCCAGGCCAGCTCTCTGCTGTGGCCCAGGAAGGCAGTGGAGGATGGCCCAAGTGCTTGGGCCCTGCACCCGCATGGGAGACCAGGAGAAGCACCTGGCTCCTGGCTTCAGATCAGCACAGTGCGCCGGCTGCAGCACGCTGGCCATGGCGGTATTTGCGGGGTGAACCAATGGAAAAGGAAGACCTTTCTCTCTGTCTCTCTCTCTCTCACACTGTCTACTCTGCCTGTCAAAAAAATTTTTTTTCATTACAATAAAAAGGCTTAATACTTAACTGAATAAGAAGTAAAAGAGCAAGAAGATCCTAGTTTAGTGGGAATAAAGACAAGACATAAACAATAATTGAATGGAAAAATTACCATTTCACCCATATATAGTAAATTTTAAAGTAATCACAGGTCATTAAATCTATAGTAGTATAACATTCTTAATGATTTGTTTGGTAAAGGTATAAAACAAAGTTTCACATAATTATATTTGTAGCAATACTGATGCACACAGCTATTTCTTCTTTAGCTCTCACATATAAGAAAGAACATGCAGTATTTGTCTTCCTGGGTCTGGTTTATTTCTCAACATGATGTCTTCCAGTTGCATCCATTTTGCTGCAAATGGTAGAATTTCATTTTTTTAAATAGCCAAATAAAGTTCCATTGTATATATATACCACGTTTTCTTTATCCACTCATCTGATGATGGGCACGTTGGTTGATTCCAAATTTGGGCTATTGTGGACAGTGCTGTGATGGACATGGTGGTGCAGGTATCTCTCTCTCTTTTTTAGAAAGCTTTTATTTAATAAATATAAATTCCATAGGTACAATTCTTGAAATATGGCAGTTCTTCCCACCAACTCCACCCTCCCACCCCCAAACCGTCCCACCTCCTACCCCCTCTCCCATCCCATTCTTCATTAAGATTCAGTTTTAATTATCTTTATATACATAAGATCAACTCTATACTAGGTAAATATTTCAATAGTTTGGTGCAGGTCTACTTCCAGTTTTTAAAAAGATCTCCACACTGTTTTCCACAGTGGTTTCAATAATTTACATTCCCACCAGCAGTGTACAAGTGTCCCCCTTTGTCCTTTGTCCACATCCTTGCCAGTATTTCTTACTCTCTCTGTTTTTTTTTTTTTTTTTTGGACAGGCAGAGTGGATAGTGAGAGAGAGAGTCAGAGAGAAAAGTCTTCCTTTTGCCGTTGGTTCACCCTCCAATGGCCGCCACGGTTGGCGTGCTGTGGCCGGCGCACTGCGCTGATCTGAAGGCAGGAGCCAGGTGCTTCTCCTGGTTTCCCATGGGGTGCAGGGCCCAAGCACTTGGGCCATATTCCACTGCCTTCCCGGGCCACAGCAGAGAGCTGGCCTGGAAGAGGGGAAACCAGGAAAGAATCCGGTGCCCCTACCGGGACTAGAACCCGGTGTGCCGGCACTGCTAGGTGGAGGATTAGCCTATTGAGCTGCAGCGCCGGCCTACTCTCTGTGTTTTGGATTTTAACCATTCTGACAGGGGTGAGGAGATATCTCATTGTGGTTTTGATTTGCGTTTCCCTGATGGCTAGTGATCCTGAGCATTTTTCATGTGTCTGTTGGCCATTTGGATCTCCTCTTTTGATAAATGCCTGTTCAAGTCCTTTATACATTTCATAACTGGAATGGTGTTTTTTTGTTGTTGGGTTTTTAAGTTGCTGATACAGTCAGGATACTAACCCTTTGTTGGTAGGTAGTTTGCAAATATTTTTCCCGTTCTGTTAGATGTCTCTTCAATGTATTGATTATTCCTTGGCTGTGCAAAAGCTTTTGAGTTTTATATAGTCCCATTTGTTTAGTTTTCCTTTTGTTTCCTGTGCTTTGGGAGTGTTATTCAAGAAGTCATCCTCTACACCAGTGTCTTAGAGTGTTTCTCCTACGTTTTCTTCCAGGAACTTCATTGTTTCTGATCTTAAATTTAGATCTTCAGTTGATTTTTGTATTTAGTGAGAGATACAGATCTAATTTCATTTTTCTCCATATATATAAATTTTCATTTTTCTCCATAAATTTTTCTCCATATATATATATATATAGAGAGAGAGAGAGAGAGAGAGAGAGAGATCTAGTTCTACCAGGACCATCTGTAGCAAAGATTATCTGTACTCCATTGAACAGTCTGAGCACTTTTATCAAAAATCAGATGGCTGTA